TATGTGCTAACATTATCCTGTAACCAAGTTTACCAACAATCTCTGTCTACCATTTACTTTGATGTACTAACATTATCCTGTAACCAGGTTTACCAACAATCTCTGTCTACCATTTACTTTGATGTACTAACATTATCCTGTAACCAAGTTTACCAACAATCTATGTCTATCATTTACTTTGATTTACTAACATTATCCTGTAACCAAGTTTATCAACAATCTATGTCTATCATTTCCTTTGCTTTTTTGCACTTTCTCCTATATTACAAATTTAAATTATTCTTAACTTTTATTGTTTATTAAGTAATTGTTTATATATATCTCAAATTGAGGCAATATGTCATACATTAGCAATTTAAATTAGTCTTAATTGTTGGTATTTATTTAGGAATCTGTTTATACACCTCAAGTTGAGGCAATATCTCCTACATTACCATATGAAGACTCACAACTAAATCAACCACCTCAGAGGACATCTAAAGACGAGTTGTTGCAGGTCATCAATAGGTTAGATCGAGAAATAGCACAAATGCAGTCACAAACAACAAATCTCAAGAAAAAGCAGGCAAGTACCATGTCTGCTTATCTCTCTTAACTAACTTTTGGAAGTGCTTTAGAGTTAGACTAGATTGTTGGAATTATATTTTTCCTTTGCTCTTATGGTATTTTAGCTTTTAAAGTAGTAGATATACTTAACCTTTTGAGTTCGATTTTAATCATTTTAAAATGATTGAAAAATAACTAGGTTTCCTATAAAACATTCTTTCTTTTGATTGAGCAACATGCAGAACTAACTTTTGCATTCAGTCTCAATCCAAATAAACTAAGCTTCACCACTTTGAGCTTGAAATTTTGAACACTCTCACATCTTTGACTTTTATATATTTTTTCTGACTGCTGTAGCTATAGTGTCTGCTTTGCACCTGTCTTAAGGTGTATCTTTAATTTTTAAATAGCAAGAACTGGAGATGGAAGCTAGTAAACCACCAGATTCAAAGCCACATGTCCAGGAAACGTCATGTTCCGAACCAAAACAACTTAGTTTAGCTCAGTTGATATACTCTGATAACAGGGTAGGTATAGAACTAGGAATCCACATAGCATGACTGTAATAATGTTAGAGCTTAGGAGTTTTAGAAAATAGGAGAAAGATGTTGAAACCATGTACAAAGAATTGCCATAGTGTCTTGTCTTATTTATTAGGAGAGAGTTTACAGAAATTTTGGTCATCATAAAACTTTTATGGTGTTCTCTACTTGTTAACAAAAAAGTTGAAGAGATCATCCAGTTTGTTTCAAAACTTTAATGGTGTCTTGCCCTTTTCACTTAATTGCAGAAAGTTATTCAAGGTCTCACAGAAGTTCTTAATTGTTAGCAGAAAGTTTACAGAAATAATCCAGTTTCTCAGACTTTTCATGGTGCCCTTTCTCCTTCTTGAATGTTACCAAAATGTTACAGAAATCATCCAGTTTTTCATATTTATTATTAGAACCTGCTGCCTTGGTAAAATTTGAAAATTACTGAGTATTATAATGGCACATTATCTGAAATATTATTTGTTCTAATAGATTCTTCAGGTTTGAATAAGAATAAATATTAAAAATAAATCCACACAAACTTTTGTGTTAGAGGGTAAGAATTGAGTCCATTTTTTTTAAAAATTGGGAGTAAGATTTTGGTACAAGTTAGCATTTAAAGCTTAAAAACACTATAGATAGAGTTAAGACATAGGTTGAAGAGATCTGAGTTTTTTAAATACAGGAAAAAAACAAAAAGGTAGGTTGATTTTTTTTGTTCAAGATTCAAAAGCCATGAATTTAAGCATTAAATTGTGAAAGTAAATTACTCATTTGTTTTATATTTTGTAGTATATTTGGTTACAGGATCAGATTAGTTTTTCAAAGCAAATGGTAGTCATAGATTGTTGGTAAACTTGGTTACAGGATAATGTTAGTACATCAAAGTAAATGGTAGACATAGATTGTTGATAAACTTGGTTACAGGATAATGTTAGTAAATCAAAGTAACTGGTAGTCATAGATTGTTGGTAAACTTGGTTACAGGATAATGTTAGTACATCAAAGTAAGTGGTAGACATAGATTGTTGGTAAACTTGGTTACAGGATAATGTTAGTACATCAAAGTAAATGACAGACAGATTGTTGGTAAACTTGGTTACAGGATAATGTTAGTACATCAAAGTAAATGGTAGACATAGATTGTTGATAAATTTGGTTACAGGATAATGTTAGCACATCAAAGTAAATGGTAGACAGAGATTGTTGGTAAACTTGGTTACAGGATAATGTTAGCACATCAAAGTAAATGGTAGACATAGATTGTTGGTAAACTTGGTTACAGGATAATGTTAGTACATCAAAGTAAATGGTAGACATAGATTGTTGGTAAACTTGGTTACAGGATAATGTTAGTACATCTGAAGATAATTTAAGTTGGTAATGTAGGAGATAGTGTGATATAAGTTAAGGATAATTTAAGTTGGTATTGTACGAGATATTGCAATAAAAGCTGAAGATAATTTAAGTTGGTAATGTAGGAGATAGTGTGATATAAGTTAAGGATAATTTAAGTTGGTATTGTACGAGATATTGCAATAAAAGTTAAAGATAATTTAAATTGGTAATGTTGGAGATAGTACCCTTAGCTTGAAGGGTATAAACAATTACTAAATAAATAACAGTTAAGACTCCATTACCCTGATAATGTGGAATACTGCCTTGAAAGATAAAAGATTTCTAAATAAATAACAATAATTAAGATTCCAACTGTAGGAGATGATGCCATAATTTGAGATATATAAACAAATTCCTCAAAACTAATAATGGTTAAGTCTCAATTAAACTGTAATGTAGAAGATACTGCCTAAACATGAGATATAAACTAATTTCTAAATAAACTATGGTTAAGACTAATTTAAATGTTTTCATTGAACCTTTGAGCATAACAATCCTTTAAAATCCATTAAATAAATTTGAGACCGATACTCACACAATGCAACAAGCAAGAATTTCTTTCTATATACGAGAGCTCATGCATCAATATTGTGTGTATAAAACTGGAAACCTGGCCTGTGATCAACATAGTACATACATAGAGTTTAAACCTATATACGAGAGCTCATGCATCAATATTGTGTGTATAAAACTGGAAACCTGGCCTGTGATCAACATAGTACATACATAGAGTTTAAACCTTTATCATCTGGTATCTTGAGGTTTTACAGAATCTGAAGCAAACTATAAAACTGGAAACCTGGCCTGTGATCAACATAGTACATACATAGAGTTTAAACCTTT